AATATCCTGCTAACGTTCTCCTAGCGTTTAGCTGATGCTAACCCTTCCTGTTACCTGGTCTGGTTGGTAAAGGTAGATTCTCAGCTCTGGGAACTTCCCGGCTGTTTGCTCTCTGTATTATTTACTGACACACAAAAGCTCATTATATGCTGGTTTAATTCTCCTTTAAAAATAAAAAATAAACACAACAAAATAATAAATCATTAGTGATGTCTCTCCTCTCCTCCTGAAAATGATGGAGAAAATGAAGAATATTCATTTTACTGCTGGATTTTCTTTTTATATTTGTAAAATATAGCAGGACCCCCCCCCAGTCAAGGGCCCTTAGAATCGTTCTAACCTTTCCCCCCCCCAGTACGGCGCCCCGTTGGTTCAGTAGGAAGAATTGATCTCGACCTCTGACCTTGTTCCTGTCAGGTCAGATGTTTGCTGTTCGTCTCCTCCAGCTTTCCTCATTCTACTGCCATTTTGGTTCCTCCTCCATAGATGGGATGTTTTGGGGCTGTTGCTGGGAAACCACGTGAGGTTGATGTCTGAGGCATGGACCTCTCCTGGACCAGGAAATTATTTTTTCAGAGCTTCTCCTCGGTGTGTTTAGGAGGATTGTCCAGCTACGTTCCCCCTTTAACACTCCACTGATGGAAGGAGGTTTGGCCTTAAAATCTCCCCATTCATGGTCCCGTTCTATCATGGATCACCCAAAGCATGATGGTTCCACCCCCGTGCTTCACAGTAGGCTTGGTGAACCTTGGATACAGCTCAGTGTTCTTGGAGGAAGGAAGCCATTTTGGTTTGGTCTGACCTCCTGATGTTCTGTGGTGACCTCCAGATGGACCTGGACAGGTTCTGTTCAGCAGGAGGACACATCTGGCAGTTACTGATGGCAGCCTTTGCTCCCTCCATGTTTTAATCAACCTTCTCAGGATTGTTTTGACCCCACAGGAGGAGGTTGTGCATGAGGCCCCAGATGGACAGAGATCATATCTTCCATTTCCTTCCCACCGTCCTGCTTCCTGATTCTCTCTTCCCTCCTGCTGCAGCTCTGCAGGTTCCTTCCACGGCTTTTTGCTGATGGTTGAGTTTGGAGTCTGACGGCTTGGAGCTGCTGACCGAGTCATTAGAGCAGCTAACGAGTGGAGGACAGAAGATCCTCTGAGAAAAGGACGGACATCTTGTTACAGCATCATAAAGAATTCAATTCTTCAGAAAACTCCTTTAAAGCAGTTTTGATAAAGAGGAAAGTTTGGAGCTCGTATGTTTTATGAACCTTCAAACTAAAAGAGGCTTCCAGAAGTAATTAATTAGACATTTTATTCTAAAACTGTCGTCTTTGTATTGCATACTGGATATAAACCCTGTGGAGCTTTTCTGATATGAAGCTACCTTCGGCATTAACCCCTCCATTGCTGGGCCGTTTCTAGATGACAAAAGGAATGAAACTTCTGACCATAAATGTGACTTTCAGGTTTCCATCCTACAGGTCAGTGTCCTCCAGGTCAGTTTTCCACAGACGGGTTCCGGCCATGCCGTCCCTGTCCTCTGGGCTCCTACCAGCCGGAACCAGGTCGGGTTTTGTGCTTCCCGTGTGGAGGGGGCCTCCTGACCAAATATGAAGGCTCGGTCACCTTCAGGGACTGTGAGGCCAAAGGTGGGGGTCTTTTCTATGTTTATTATTCTATATTAACTGAAGATGGGTTAAAATAACATATCTTTACAGTTTAGATGTTCCACTGATATCTAAAGAAGCAGGTGGATCAGATGAGCAGTAATGAGAAACTGGGCGGAGTTAAACATGAAATCAGTGATTAAGATCATTACAGGTATCCTCCCAATCCAAACACCTGCGAGTATCATAAATCCAAACATGTGAGCGTCTTCCACGCCCTCTACTGGCAGCATCATAAAACACACCATCCTCCAAGGATGCATCCAACCAGGACAGGACGGGTCTCCTTTCCCCTGCCTTCCAGTTGAGGACATTTGATCAATTGCATTGAGAGACCAGCTGACCAGATCGATTGTTTGAGTTCTGGTGATTGAAGAAAGAGCTCCACAAAGACGGCAAAGCAGGACGGAGCAGGGAAGAACAGGAGCAGCTGCAGCTCATGAAGGAGCTGCTGCAAACAGAGACTCCTGACCTAGTATAGAGGTTCAGCTCAGAGCCAGTTATAGTTATACCTCCTGTCAAAAGCATACATGCCTGATGGCATTTAATGACCTTATTGCTGCGGATGAGCTGAGATATTGATGATGATGATGGCATCTTCAGGAACATTCCTTCCAATGAAGGCCTCTAAAATATGTCTACATTTTATCCTCATGCTAGCAGTCTGTAAAATGTTTTTACATTTAATCTTTTTGGAGCTCCTCTTCTGTCCAATCATGTTAGTTCTGTTTGATAAGTTTCGTAATGAAACAGTGAAAAGTCCTTTCAGAGTTTCTTACTAAATCATTTAATTGTCTCTGTAAAGCGCTTAGAGAGAAAATCTCAGAATTGATGCAATATTAACTGAACTGAACTTAAAGTTTGTTGATTAAAAAATAAAGTCAGACTAGACTTGGTTATAAGTCCATGTCAGCATTCGCACGGACAAACCTAATCGCTAGCTTACGTTTTGTTGCAGCTTGGGCTGGTGCAGTGCATCTAACATGTGGTGGGTGCACACCAGTAGGAGCACACCAGTAGGAGCACACACAGTGGGTGCACACCAGTAGGAGCACACCAGTAGGAGCACACACAGTGGGTGCACACCAGTAGGAGCACACCAGTAGGAGCACACCAGTAGGAGCACACCAGTAGGAGCACATGAAGTGTTCCTGCTTCCTGCATCAGTTAACATTCATCCTAACCTGTTATTTTCAGCTTCATGTTATTTTCGGATCGTGGCGAGCGGCGAGGGAGTCATGTGATGACGTAGTGATTTCATCAGAACGTTCTGAGTGTTTTCAATTAAACTGTATTTTTGATTATAAGCTTAATTTTCTTTTCTCAGTAGAATGTTTTTTTAATTGTTATTATTATTATCTGTGTTTACTTGAATAGTTTATTTGAGTTAGAAGTAAATGTTTAGTTTGTTTTGACTTTAGTTTGTTTTGACTTTTGTTTGTTTGGACTTTGTGTGGGCGGAGCCTGTAGCTTTAAAGCAGGGCTCTGCACCACAGGGAGTCAGTCTGTGGCTGAAGTCCCACTAAAGGTGATGGACTCTGACATTAAAGGTACTTCTGTTTGTCTGATTTACAACCAGTAACGCCTTAAACTGCAACATTCTCCATTTAAAGAGCTGGTTAGTAAATTTATATTTTAGGCTTTTAGACATTCAGTCCATCTTCTATTGTTTGCTCTTTTTCTACCATCGCTGGGAATCTCCAGCTCTGTAGAAATATCTTCTCTTTCTGGGAAATTAATACAATTGTTGGTTAAAGTTATTGTTTTAGGATGTATTTTCCATATATTGGACACACAGTGCATAATCTGACTATGTGTTGTTATTATAGTCCACTGTGCTCCTGGACATTTCTACAACTCCAGTACCCACCGCTGCATCCGCTGCCCAGCAGGGACCTACCAGTCTGAGTTTGGCCAGAACTACTGCATCAACTGTCCTGGGAACACCACCACGGACTTTGATGGGGCCACAAACGTGTCCCACTGCAAAAGTAAGGCTAATTTACCAAAGTATATCAACAAGAACTGGGATTCTATCTGTTGTTCTTGCTTGTGTTTCCTGTGGTGTTGGAAGTAGCGCCTCTTTAAAGGTGTTCTGTTTAAATCTGCCCTCAGACCAGCTCTGCGGAGGGGAAGTAGGGGAGTACACCGGCTACATCGAGTCGCCCAACTATCCCGGAGATTACCCATCAAACGTGGACTGCGTCTGGACCATAAGTCCTCCACACAAAAGACGAATCCTCATTGTGGTTCCAGAGATCTTCCTTCCCATTGAAGACGAGTGTGGAGATGTGCTTGTCATGAGAAAGAGCGGTAAATAAATAGAGATGAAAACCGACTGTGTTTATAAACTCAGCTCAAATGATTCATTGGAAATCATTGATGATGCAATATTGACATTTTTAGTATTATTTGTAGACCAAAACATTATTAAAGGTAAAGTGGAGGATGTTTTATTTCTGGGTGGATCATCTAAATCAGTGGTCCTCCTAACTGTCAATCATTCTGATGATCTGTTTACCTGCGTGCTCATTTCCGCCTCCTGCTGGTGAGTCTGACATAGTGGAAAAATGCTAATCTTCTGTTAGAAAGTTAGCTTGTGTGAGCGATGCAAACAGCAGCTTATAAACAGAGCGTGCACGAGGACACATGGACTCCTGCACACTTTCACACGCGTTCCCTAGGCGTTCCCTCTGAGGAGTGGAAACAGGGATGTGCATGTGAATTTTTTTTGTGTTGAGGTCAAAAATTCACGTAAATCCTCCACTATACCTTTAATGATGATTAATGTAACCATTTTAAAGGCAGCTGCATTAATTAGTTTTATCAAAAAGCCGCCGCCTTTCAGAGGAGTAGCTGAGAGAGGCAGATGGAGGTATACAGGTGAGCAGCGGTTTTACCTGTTCTGGATTCAGCTTCGCCTTCATGTTGGGTCGCAGCTTTCTGCTTCTCCCCTCATCAGGATGACGCATCCTGAGCCGCCTTCAGAGCAGATGAAGCAGGTCAGATGAGATCAGGAGAAATTAAACCAGCGGAACATTTTGTGAAGGAGTCGCTTGGTTGTTCAGTAGAACCGTACCTTTGGTTTCCCCTCCAGCGGTAGAGAGAGAAAATCAGCCAGACATGGAGCGATTGTTAATTAAAATAAGGCTTAATGATTCTGTCATCTTTATGTGATTATTTTAACCAATCAGATGTTCTTTGCTTTATTCTCAAGCATGTTTCATTTCAGGATTTTATTTTCTCCTGACCTTGAGAGCTAGCTTGTAGCGAGTCCAGTCTGTTTGCGTTTTCTAGGTTTTTGAAGTGGGAGGGGCTTACAGCAGCAGCTGAGGTCACCAAACTCACAGCAATTTGTTGCCAAAGTCTCAAAAATAGAAAAGTTTACATAGAGGAAACACATGAACTCTACGACCAGCTCTAAATTCAAGCTCTAGGTTTTTGGTTAAAGATGCTAAAGTTAAGCAAACTGACAGCTTCTTAAAGTTTATTTCTATAAAGCCAATTAACAACATGTGAAGGCTCTTTATGGTTCCCCACATGAAGCAACATGTCTGCTCTGTTCCTCCAGCGGTGCCCACCTCCATCACTACCTACGAGACGTGTCAGACGTACGAGCGGCCGATCGCCTTCACCTCTCGCTCGCGCAGACTTTGGATCCAGTTTAAGTCCAACGAGGCAAACAGCGGAAAAGGTTTCCAGGTTCCATACGTCACCTATGATGGTGAGTTTCCTTTAATTATCATTAGCTAGTTTACTTAAAGATATTAAAAAACTAAACTTCTTAATCAACGACGGCTTTGACACTTAGTTTGCTACTTTCTCAAATGTTATCTTTTCAGATTTTATATTTAAATATTAATCTCTTATTTTTTCCACCTTTTTCAGATAACATTATTTATACATTCTTTTTCTCAAAAATTCATTTTTTCATTTCTCTTTTTTTTTCATTTTTTGCAAATCTTACTTTATTTTTCTTCAGATGAAGTTTTTCAGATTTCCTTCTATTCAAATTCTCCTCACCTGTGGGGGCGGGGCTTCCTCTGCAGCGAGGAGCAAAGGCTAATTTTTATTGGTAAATATGCGCATCTAGAGATTTAGATTTATTTCTTTATTTGACAGAGACGGTGGACATTAATAAGCATTCCTGCCGACTTTTCTTCCTGGACAGATCTTACAATTATTTAAACCCAAAAACACACAACAGTAAGAATTTTACAGTGAAAAATACAAATATATTTCAAAAAATAAAAACAGCTATAACTCTTCAGAACGTGTTTAAAAATACAGAATTAATGTTTGCTAGGCTACAGATTCTGTAGAATGTTATCTGTTTCGTAAAACTTAATCTGAAGAAGAAAATGAGGGACAAATAAAGATATTTAAGTCTGAAAAAAATAACATTTGAAAAAATAAGATATGAAAAAACAATTTCTGACAAAACAGCAAATCTACATTCAAATCTTTTCTATTAAGAATTTTTCAAAAGTTTTAGTTTTTTTGTTAAAATTTCAATTAACAAAATGCTTCTTTGCAGCAAACATGAACTAATAATATAACTCTATAGAGTTGAGCCTGTTTGGCTTGTCTTTGTGCTGCAGAGGACTACCAGCAGCTGATAGAAGACATAGTGCGAGATGGGAGACTTTATGCATCTGAGAACCACCAGGAGATACTCAAGGTTTTAAAATAGTCACACAAACATCCCTTCTGTGCTGTGAGCTGCTGTCATTTTATACTCTATGATTCTTTTTCTGCAGGATAAGAAGTTAATAAAAGCCCTGTTTGACGTCCTTGCCCACCCCCAGAATTACTTTCAGTACACGAGTGCGGAGTCCAAAGAGATGTTTCCTCGCTCCTTCATCCGGCTGCTGCGCTCCAAAGTCAGCAGGTTCCTGCGGCCGTACAGCTAGAACCAACCACCTGATTCTGCACTTAAACCCTTTGATCCTGCATCATTCCAGATGTTCCCATATGTAACACTGAATCCCTCCTTGTTTTCTCTCCTTGTTTTCTTAGGAAGAAATCCTAATTTCCTGTATTTGTCTCTATTGTCACATGATGCCTTTCAACATCGTGACTACAACACTATAACCCCCCCCCACCCCCGTAGCACAACGGTACACTTAAACATGCAAAGTTTGACAAATAGAGGATTTTGGAGGCCAGTTATGATGATGTAGAAATCTCTTAGTATTTCATTTCTGTAATGTACACACACACACACATATATATATATATATATATATATATATGTGTGTTCCCTATATATCAGCAAAGACAGTTTTAACCCTTAATACATCAATCTTAACACACTATAGTTTTAAATAAAGCCCTTCTGCGGTAATGAAGCTACATGTTTAATAGGTTAGTTTATTTAACAGCTAAAACAATATGCGGACAATATTTGCGTATCAATAAATAGAATAAGCGTGTTATTTATATGTTTATATTCAATCAGATTGGTCCAAATTATAAGCATTAAATCCAATTTAAATCCAACAGAAATAAACCTGACATCATTAATCTGGATTTATTAGCCTGTAGAGAAAAGAGGAAATTGGCAGCTAATGATGTCATAAAGTTGAATTAATTCAAGCTAGTGTGGATAAAGTCAGAGCTCCTTCATCACGCCTTCGTTATGTTCTAATGACCTCTAGTTTATCTGTTGGTGTTGCAGCTGCAGACTGAAATACACGTTTCTGGGTAGATTTATCTGATTGTCGCACATAATTTGAACTGTGAGCAAAAAGAATCCATAGTTTTTAAACAAGGACATGAAATATAAACTTTAGTTGAGATCATGAAAATATTCTCCAATTAACACCTCTTAGTTTCCACAAACACTGACTCGTGTGTTTTTTTTTGGAGTCATGCTTTATATTTCCTGTGTTTGCTTTAGAAATGGTCCTTTAGCGTCTAGTAACGGGATAGTTTAGATTTTACTGCCTAAATATGCTGGTGAAGAAGATTCTCAGTCATTCAGGTCAGTCATTCCAAAAAAGTTCAAATCAATCCTCTGGACTTTGTTTCCAGGTTTAAAGACGTTTCTCTTCCATCCAGGAAGACTTTTCAGTTCAAAATGCCAGAAATAGCGTTTAGTTCCAGGTTTTATAGAGTGGAGCAACAAAGCCTGGTTTTAGTTTAGAAAACATGCAAATAGAACCAGACGAAGGGGTCCCCCCCTTTGGAATGGGGAGTCGTTAAGGTCCTTGTTAGCCTGCAATGCCAGATACTGGTCTATGCCTCAGAAAGGGGGGTTGTTGGGGTCATTGTTGGCCTGGCTGACCAAGCGAGGTGTCTTGGTCCAGAGCAGGTCCTAAAGACCTAATCTGAGCAGAGTGTCTGCAGGTCAATGCAGGGAGGAATGCTCTGATCTTTGGCCCAACACAGAAGAGCGCCCTCCGCTGGACAAGACTCTGCGCTACATCTACACCTGATGGACAAAGGACATTCTTTGGAGGACCAGAATGTTCACATTTTGGACAAAGAAGACAGGTAGTTTGAGAGGGGCGTGAAGGAAGCCTTCTATGTTAACAAAGAAAACCAACCTTTGGGGGGGGGGACTAAACCCTGCTATCTAAACCCTGCCTTTCCGCTATCATAGTCCTCATCGCCATGCAAGGGAACAAGACA